CTGGGGCCGGTCCTCTTTAATATCTTCATCAATGATCTGGACGAGGGCATTGAGTGCACCCTCAGTAAGTTCGCAGATGACACCAAGCTATGCGCATGTGTCAATCTGCTCGAGGGTAGGAAAGCTCTGCAGGAGGATCTGGATAGGCTGGAACAACGGGCTGAGGTCAACTGCATGAAGTTCAACAAGGCCTAGTGCCGGGTCCTGCACCTGGGGCGCAATAACCCCAAGCAGAGCTAGAGGCTGGGAGATGAGTGGTTGGAGAGCTGCCAGGCAGAGAAGGACCTGGGAGTGATGGTGGACAGTCAGCTGAATATGAGCCAGCAGTGTGCTCAGGTGGCCAAGAAGGCCAACGGCATCCTGGCTTGTATCAGAAACAGTGTGACCAGCAGGGCTAGGGAAGTGATCATCCCCCTGTACTAGGCTCTGGTGAAGCCCACCTCGGGTACTGTGTTCAGTTTTGGGCCCCTTGCTACAAGAAGGACATGGAGGTGCTTGAGCGGGTCCAGAGAAGGGCGATGAAGCTGGTGAGGGGCCTGGAGAACAAGTCCTACGAGGAGCGGCTGAGGGAGCTGGGCTTGTTCAGCCTGGAGAAGAGGAGGCTCAGGGGCGACCTTATTGCTCTCTACAGATACCTTAAAGGAGGCTGTAGTGAGGTGGGGATTGGCCTGTTCTCCCACATGCCTGGTGACAGGACGAGGGGGAATGGGCTTAAGTTGCGCCAGGGGAGTTTTAGGTTAGATGTTAGGAAGAACTTCTTTACTGAAAGGGTTGTTAGGCACTGGAACAGGCTGCCCAGGGAGGTGGTGGAGTCACCATCCCTGGAAGTCTTCAAAAGATGTTTAGATGTAGAGCTTAGGGATATGGTTTAGTGGGGACTGTTAGTGTTAGGTTAGAGGTTGGACTCGATGATCTCGAGGTCTCTTCCAACCTAGAAATTCTGTGATTCTGTGAGAACACCCAAACTGACTGAGGACTGGCCATGAGGACACGGAGCATTCCCTTCATTCCCAGGGAAGTCTGTGGTCTATCAGAGCCTGGATCAGAGATATCACCAGGACACTTATCAGCCTGCTGTGCCTCACATACTACTATCTACTGACGATATTGCAGACAGCTGTGGAGGAAGCTGTGTCCTGTAGTCTGAGGGGAATGAAGAAAGACTTCAATGCCTTGGGACGGTTGGTGAAAGAGTCTGGAGCACAAGTCCCTTTCTCTTCCCTCCATCTATTCTGGGGTGGTGACATTGGATGGAATAGAAGGATCTGGTACATAAATGCTTGGCTCCGTGACCTGTGCTACAGGCCCAGCTTTGGGTTATTTGGTAATGGCTGGTGTTATAAGACAGCAGGCCTGAGAGAAATACTTGGGAAAGGTTTATCTCACAGGGTCCAGAGGGTTCTGGGACAGCAATTAGCAGGGCTATTTTGAGAGCTTCAAGCTATATCCGCAGAAAAATGGGCTTGTAGCAGGGCTTGTAGCAGTGGGACAGCACCCCACAGAGATGTTCATGTGATTCGTGTCAATATGGAACAATGCTAGGGCCACATGGTATGATGAATGTGACCTTCTGTCTTACAGACACTTAAATAACCACAAGTCTAAGAAAAACAGAGTGGTTAATGTATAGAGTTCTTTTATATTGCAAAGGACCGGTCCAGCAATTCGTGTCAATAGAGAGCTAGAAGGGAAAGCTTTTAGGCTTTTCCTTGAAGTCTCTAATACTCCGGGGGGGGGGGGGGGGGTGTAGAATAACTGCTAACTATTATGGCTGTTGCATGGGACACTATGCACGTCTCTGATACCTGCCCAGGAGATTAAGGAGAAGGGGAAAGCTGAAGGACAACTAAAAGACAAAGCTTGCAGGGGATGCTGCACAAGTCTCTGACATCCGGCCAAGTTGGACAAAGGAGAAGGACAAGAGGGAGGAAGACTAGGAGCCTTCAGCATGACAGACCCCCAGATTGACCTCCGGAGACTGATACGCATGCTCCAGTTGGAGGGTTTGGATTCTGGAAACTAATTATAATAACCCTGTTTTTTCAGAAGTAGTAATGAATATGTATTAGCCTAGAGCATAAAAATCATCTGCTTGATGTAACTGGTGTGTGTCTTGGTGGAGCAGAGACTGCCGGCGCACCCAGCGCTGTTTCCTTACCTCTATTCCTTTAATAAATTGTAAACTTTGATTATAGTCCTATTTTGAAGACTGAGCCATTTATTACAACAATAATAATAACAATAGTGGTGATAATAGTACCACTGGCTGGCAGAGGGGCTCAGGCTGCACAGCCTTGCACAAGCAACAAGAGTACAGGGGCTGAACATCGGCAGGGGATGCAGCAGTGGAAGGGACAGAAATGTATTTGGGAGAAGCTGTACATGCTTCCTAGCTTAATGGAGAGCTGCAAAACTACGAGACAAATCCGGCAAGGGGAAAAGGGACAGGAGGCCATGTAGGAAGAATACTGCCCTTGAGATACAGATAAAAACAGCAAGAGTTGCGGTGTGTGAGAGGACAGAAATAACAGTGGGGGCTCAACAGAAGCAGCGGATGTAGCAGGGGCTGAGACAGGTTACTCTTTGATGAGAGCCTCTGGCTGTGGGCAAGGCTCAGGCGGCCACAGCAAGCCCACAGGGCAGCTCCCTGCTGCACTGCAAGCCTCTGTCCCACCGTCCCCAGCTCACAGCAAAGCAGACACCTGAAGCAGACGCTGCTCCCCAAAAGCAGCGCCCAAAAAGATGCTGGGGCAGGTGCCATGGGCAAGGCTGTCTCCTTCTGGCCCTGCCATCCTGCTGCTGGCCCTCTGTGAGTTGGGGCATTGCTCGGTGGGTGTGGGGGCTGAGAGCTGGAAGGCTGCTGCTGGGGGCAGGACAGGCCAGTGGTGGGCACAGGGGAGGATGGGGACAGTGTGTGAGTGGCAGGTGTGCAGCACTGTGGGGCAGAGTTCTTTTAGGGAAAGCAGGAGGCCATGACACCTGTAAGCAAAGCTCTCTCTGCCCCATGCTGCAGGTACTGGAGTGACCACTCAGGACATCTGCAGCTCTCCAGGATTTCGGGAGCATGGAGGTGGGTCCCAAAAATGAATGTGTCTTGTGGAAAGAGATGGGAAGAAAGAAGCGAATTATTCCCTCATGGTTCCCCCTGTGAAGCCCCAGGAGAGCAGATTCTTCCAGCCTTGGCATGCAGTTGGTTTTGCCACCTGGCCATCACTAATGCTTGCCTGGGGAATCCCTCTGCCTTCTCTCCAGGTAACAACCAGGCTCCAGTCCTGTACCTCAACGCTTCCAGTGCCCAGGAGGGGGAAATAGTGTTGCTTCAATGTACCCTTGATGAGCAGTTTCCTCCTACACGAGTTGTCTTCTGCAAGAATGGGCTGGAGGAGTTCAGCCTGAAAGCCCAGCAGGGCATGCTCATCTACACTCTGGTCCTGAACATCACCTCCAGAAGTGCTGGGATGTACACGTGTGGGTACCAGCAAAAGAACAAGGAAAACTGGGTGAGGAGCTCTGCTCTCAGTGCTCCCTGGACCTTGTCTGTGGCAGGTGAGACACGGCCCCAGGGTGGTGAGGGTGAAAGGTTTTGGAAAACTGCTGAGGCTGGAGCTGTGTGCAGCAGCAGGCAGGGCATGGCTCTGGGGTGGTTCCCCCTCGGGACTGTTCCCTCTCCTCAGAGGCAGCCCCTACAGAGAGAAAGCTGCTCTCAAGGGCTGTCCCCATCCCTGCAGCAGCAGCTCGGTTGAGGCATGGGGCTGTGCAGTTCCCATGCAGAGAGAGCAAGAGCTGGGGATGTTGATGGACCCTGGGTTCAGCCTGGCATGTTCCAAGATCTGTCCTGTACATTGACGAGCCTATGGCAGGGGAAGTGGTGTGATTGTCATGAGACAGGCTATAGCCTGTACATCAGCAACAGTGTGGGATGGTTCCAGAAGGGAGAGCACAGTGGTGCTGGTTTGAGACACAGAAAGGTGCCTGCTCAGCAAGAACAAACAGAAAGAAAAAGGACTTGGGTGTGGAGGTGTGCCAGGTCTTGGCCCCACTAAGAAAAACCCCTTTTGCCCCAAGGTGCAGGTGCTGGTGAGACCACCACTGATATCCACAGCTCCAAAGGTGAGGACAAGCATGAGGGTGTGCCGTTTACATGGACACGTCCTGCTCCCTGCCTCTCCCCATCACACCCCGCTGCCCTCACACCCTCTGTCCCCCGGCTCCCCATGCCCGGCTCCCGCACACCCTCCCCACAGCCATGGTGCTTGCAGTGGTGCCTCTCATCCTCATCCTCCTGGCTGCAGGCAGCTGGTTTGCCATCAGGAAAGCTGAGGGAGAGGGGGAAGGCTGGGGGAAGGCTGAGGCCGTGGGGGTCCTCGTGGGGCTGGTGCAGTGGGAAAGGTGGTGGGGGGAACCTGGGGGTGCGCAGCTGGGGCAAACGGTGCCTGGGGGTGACGGCTGTGGGCAGCCCAGCTGGGGAGGCTGCTGAGGGAGCTGGGGAGCTTCAGCCTTCATCCCCCAGCCCCGAGATGGGAGTCAGGGCTGGGCAGCCTGTTTGTGCCAGGTGATATACGGCCCAAGGGTGGTTTGAACAGAAGGGATGGAGATACTGTAGAGGCTGGAGCTGTGTGCTGCAGCAGGTAGGGCATGGCTGTCGTGTAGATCCCCCATGGGAGTGTTCCCTCTCCTGTAAGTTAGCCGCTAGAGAAAGAGCTGCTCTCAGACATGCCCGTCCCTCCTGCAGCACCTCTGCATCAGAGATAGGGCTGCATCGGGTAATGAAATAATGAACAGGGGCTGGGGTTCTCTATGGACCCTGGGGTGTTCCACTACTGTCCTAGGATGTCCCTCTAACCTTTACAAATCTGTGTCTGGGAACATAAATGGAAAGGCTTGCTCATGTTCCCTGTGTGCTCAAGGAAGCAAGACATGAGCTCAGCATCTCCTCAGCATCTGGGATTGTCCTAAAACAGAGTTCAAGGGACTCACAGCATGTTTATGTCTCCCACAGACAGCAGCCCCTCACACAAGGCCCAGCTCCCTTCCAGAGGTGAGACATGGCTCATCAGCCTTTCCCAGCACAGCTGTCCTCCAAGGCTTGCCTTGGCCACACTGTGTTCCTCCTCTCTCCCAGGCTCAGCCATGCCCCTGGAGGTCTGGATCCTGCGCTCTGCCCTCAGCCTGCTCCTGCTGCTGTCTGCCCCCATCATCACCCTCCTCCTGGAGAGATGCAGCCACAGTGCCCACAGAGACAGGCAGCCTGGAGACGTCCCCGTCCCCATGCAGCTCTGATGTCCCCCTGAGTTCCATGCTGTCCCCAGCCTGCTCCCTCATGCTCAGAGCATGACCCCCACCGTTGCCGGGCTCCCGCTGCCTTTGGGTTGAAGGCAGCTGGGGCAGCATGCCCAAGGGATGTGCTGCCACTGCTCTGCTTCCCTTGGCTCAGCGCCTGCTCTCTGCTCCCATCAAGGATTACCACTGGATCGCAGACCCTCCCAGCTGGGTTCAACCCCAGCACCCACATAGCTGCCCTGCCTGCTCAGAGAATCACATCTACATCACAGGATCCATCTCTGCATACCGGGAAAACACGAGGGGATGGAGTCACAGCTGCACCCCCAGGCAGCCATGATCTGCAGCTCCTGCATCACTCCAGCACCTCCCTGTGCCCAAGGTGGTGCTGGCCGCAATGGGCATATCCCCAAGTGATTACAGTGCTCCCTCTCGAGGCACCTTGGTGGGTATTGGTCCTGTGGGAGGCAAGTTATAAAGGATTGGTTCAGAATGCACCAGCTGATGTTGCTGCTCTGTATTTGAGAGGGAAGCCAGAGAGCAGAGCTGGGAGAGCTGCTCTATGACTGCCATATGGGGCCATGTGTCCTACGTGGGAGCTGCTGTTCCCTTTGCCCTGCCACCCAAGAGTTCCCCTACCTACTGGCATTGCCCTGGCAGATGTGTCATGGAAAACTGCCTGAGATCTGAGGATGGCTGACACCATGTAGAGGTCCAGGGGGTGGCATGCCTGGCACTCTACATCCCATGCCCACCCATTCCTGTGCTGGATTTTCTGTCTCTCAATGCGCCATCCCCAGGAGACAGCCCTGAGCAGGGACATTGTACATGGGGGCATCCAGCTGTGGGCCAGGTGGGGATGGGGTCTCAGCATGGCTGGCCCCAACACCCACACACCATCCCCAGCCTTGCACTATGGGCTTTTAGCCATCCCACACCAATTCCAAGAAGGAGCCAAAGTGTCCCTTCTCTGCAGCTCCCAGTGCTGACATCTGGGGCCTTGGTGTGCAGTGGGGGACTCTGGGACAAGATGGGTGCAGGCAGGACAGGAGCTGCTCAGCTGGGAGGCACGAGGATGCAGGACTGCATGGATAGAATAGGGGATAGGAAAATGGGGTCAAAACTCAGCAAGAGCTGCTTGGAGGCAGAGCTGGAGGGGATGTGGGTTTCAGGCTCCTTCCTGCAAGCACAGTCCCTCACCTCCCATGCTCTCATTGAAGCACTTGTCCCACAGCTTCCTTCAGGCCCATGCATGCATGTTTCACAGCACAAGCCTCCAGGAGACTCTTCCTCAAAGGGAATATACAGAGTTAGGTGGACGGAGCTACTCCCTCATTCCCATACAGCCTCCAACCCTCCCTGGTGAGCCAATCGCACTGTGGTGCCAGCTGCGAAATTTCTGAGGTTAACCTCTGACCAGCATCCTGAGAGTAATGAAGATATTGAATGGAATTCGACGTAATTAGGAAGAATTTAGGAAGAACTTCTTTACGAAAAGGGTTGTTAAAAATTGGAATGGGCTGCCCAGGGAGGTGGTGGAGTCACCATCCCTGGAGGCCTTTAAAAGACATTTGGATGTAGAGATTAGTTATATGGTTTAGTGGAGGACTTGTTAGTGTTAGGTCAGAGGTTGGACTCGATGATCTTGAGGTCTCTTCCAACCTAGAAATTCTGTAATTCTGTGATTCTGTAATTTGGATCCCTGGAGTACACTACCAGTTAGCAGCCTTCAGCTGATGTGGTGCAATTGCCTAAAGTAACTAGGAAAATAAAACTAACATTCATGTTTTAAAGAAAATGTACAGCATTAAAGAGGCTTTCAGGGTTAGGCGTAGCTGCATTACCTAAGCGTTCCCTAGGCTTCCAACCTTAGATGCTATCACACTGGGGGAACCTGGTGTGCAGGTTCTAAGGGACAGTACGAAGCATAGAGTGGAGTGGAGACACCGCGGCTAGGCTCTGTGACCAGGTGGGGACTCGATTGTTCTTGTGCACACTGAGACTGATAAGCCACACTTTTTCCGACCCTGAGACAACAACCTGTCATGTTTTGACAAATGCTGTAGCCTAGTGTACTTTTCCTCATTGTAATATCATTATAATACCAAAACACACCTCCATCCCAAAAGCTACCTGCCTCCAATGTGCGACCACCCCTCACTCAGCATGCACTCTGAATTTCTCGGTGCCTTTTACTTTAACCGAAATGGGAGAACTTTTCTCCAATCATAACTAAGATATGCTTGACTAGAGTCACTCAAGCTCCACCTACAAGATAGAAAATAATATAAATTGGCCTAAGAGAGAGGGGATGTTTTGGAAGATACCACTGAAGGGGAGATACCACCCTGAGGGAATACACCATCCTGAGGACCTCCTGACTCCTGGGATCAGTTGTCGGGCTGAGCTTCTCTTCCACCCTCTGCCCCCATTGGGAGGCCTTTGGGTGAGATTTGAACACACGGCTATACTGTGTGTCTCTGCAGAAACTTTGAAATCTCTATAGAGTCTTTGTGCCTTTTAACACATTAATTTCCAGGCTGTGCACCTGTTTCACCTATGTCACCTGTGTATTTCGTGCATGCTAGCTTGCTTTTGCAGACAGTAACTATGGCTGGCAATCCAAAGAACCTGCATACCTGTTGCTGTAATAAATCGCACTTGAATGCATTGTTCCTACCCATGATAGTGTGAAATGTGTTCATCTGATTCATGTCAATATGGAACAATCCTAGGGCCACATGATATGATGAAATGTGACCTTCTGTCTTTCATACCCTTGTATAACCACAAGTCTAAGAAAAACAGGGTGGTTAATGCTCTGGTTCTTGTATCTTACAAAGGAATGTTCCAGCAATTCGTGTCAATAGGTGATAAGAGAACAAAGGGGTTTCAGAATAACTGCTACCTATTATGACTATTGCATGGGACATTATGCAAGTCATGATATCTGGCCAGGAGATTAAGGAGAAGGGGAAAGCTGAAGGATGACTCAAAGACAAAGCTTGCAGGGGACGCTGCACATGTCTCTGACATCCGGCCAAGTCGGACAAAGGAGAAGGAGAAGAACAAAAGCCTGAGAGGAAGACTACAAGCCTTCAGCACGCGAGACCCACAGAGGGACCACCAGAGACTGATATGCATGCGCCAGTAGGAGGGTTCGGATTCCGGGATCTAATTATAATAACCCTGCCTTTTCTCGAAGTAATAGTGAATATGTAGGAGTCTAGGAGCATAAAAAGTTACTATTACAATAGTGCTCATTAAACACAACTAGAGTAAGGGTGGTTATACGTTTTTGGTGAATTCCTGACCATGGTAGTTCAGTGCTCTGAATCCAACCAGGCGCCTAATGGTTAATGCGGTATTGGTGAATCTGTGATTGTGATAGTTCAGTACCATGAATCCGACCGGACCCTTAACAGTTAATCGGCTACACCCCTTAACCCGATACCAGACCACCTGGTTCTGTGTGGGCTCCTCTCCACGGGCTGCAGCTCCAGCCTGAGCCCTGCTCCTGTGGGGCCTCTCCATGGGCCACAGCCACCTGCTCCACCGGGGGCTCCTCCACGGTCTGCAGAGTGGAGATCTGCTCCATGTGGGACCCATGGGTGCAGGGGGACAGCCTGCTCCACCAGGGGCCTCTCCACAGGCCACAGGGGAACTTGTGCTGCATGCCTGGAGCACCTCCGGCCCTCCTGCTGCACTGACCTTGGTGCCTGCAAGGCTGGTTCTCATTCTTCCCTCTGCCACCTGTTGATGTCCAGCAGGTTTTCTTCCCTCCTGAAATATGCTCTCACAGAGGTACAATCAACATCAATTTTTGGCTCGTCTTTGGCCTGCAGCGGGTCCCTTTTGTGTCTGACACTGGCCCTTTTCAAATAGTGGGCAGCTTCTGGGCTTCTCAACAAGGCCACCACTGCAGACTCCAGCTACCAAACCCTTGCCATGTAAACCCATTACAGCTGTACAGTGCAGGCCACGGTTTGCTTTCCCTTGCAGGGGCGTTCAGTACACCTGCAATGGACGGTGCCAGGGGTGCAAACACAGCCCTGCCATTTGCCATGGAGTAATGCAGATGGCTGTAGAACAAGGTGAACGTCGTGAGTACCTGCAGTGCATTGATGGCAGCCTCACATGGGGCAGCAAAGCAGAGGAATTCTTGAGAAAGGGATGTAAATCATCTAAATTCTCCTGAAGGCTTGTTGTGCATTGACCAGAGTGAGGTCAAGGGAACGGCCCAGGAAATGTGAAACTTGGGTGTAAAATGGCAAGGTGGATGTTGCTATATCCCAGTGGGTGAGGTCAGTGAGGTAACAACTGTGTGCCCACCAGCTAACAAGAAAGAACTACAAGTTATCCTACGCCTTGTGGGTTTATGGAGAAGGTATAGTGCGGGTTGTAGTGAGCTTCTGAGCCCTCCCTATCGAGTACTGTGACAGAGCACTTTGAAGTCTCTTTGGGGTCTGTTATAGACCGCCGAACCAGGATGAAGAGATGCATGAGGAGTTCTACAGGCAGCTGACAGAAGTTGCGAAATCATAGGTGCTTGTTCTCGTGGGGGACTTCAGCTTCCCTGACGCCCTGGACTGGGGCACGCTTCGTTGGGTTAGAAACTGGCTGGATAGCCGGGCCCAAAGTGTTGTGGTAAATGGAGCCAAGTCCAGTTGGAGGCCAGTCACTAGTGGCGTCCCCCAGGGCTCGGTGCTGGGGCCGGTCCTCTTTAACATTTTCATCAATGATCTGGATGACGGCATTGAGTGCACCCTCAGTGAGTTTGCAGATGACACCAAGCTAGGTGCGTGTGTCGATCTGCTCGAGGGTAGGAAGGCTCTGCAGGAGGATCTGGATAGGCTGGAACAACGGGCTGAGGTCAACTGTATGAAGTTCAATAAGGCCAAGTGCCGGGTCCTGCACCTGGGGCGCAATAACCCCAAGCAGAGCTACAGGCTGGGAGATGAGTGGTTGGAGAGCTGCCAGGCAGAGAAGGACCTGGGAGTGATGGTGGACAGTCGGCTAAATATGAGCCAGCAGTGTGCTCAGGTGGCCAAGAAGGCCTATGGCATCCTGGCTTGTATCAGAAACAGTGTGACCAGCAGGGCTAGGGAGGTGATCGTCCCCCTGTACTCGGCTCTGGTGAGGCCGCACCTCGAGTACTGTGTTCAGTTTTGGGCCCCTCGCTACAAGAAGGACATCGAGGTGCTTGAGCGGGTCCTAAGAAGAGCGACGAAGCTGGTGAGGGGCCTGGAGAGCAAGTCCTATGAGGAGCGGCTGAGGGAGCTGGGCTTGTTCAGCCTGGAGAAGAGGAGGCTCAGGGGTGACCTTATTGCTCTGTATAAGTACATTAAAGGAGGCTGTAGCGAGGTGGGGGTTGGCCTGTTCTCCCATGTGCCTGGTGACAGGACGAGGGGGAATGGGCTAAAGTTACGCCAGGGGAGTTTTAGGTTGGATGTTAGGAAGAATTTCTTTACTGAAAGGGTTGTTAGTCACTGAAACGGGCTGCCCAGGGAGGTGGTGGAGTCACCATCCCTGGAAGTCTTCAAAAGACTTTTAGATGTAGAGCTTAGGGATATGGTTTAGTGGGTACTGTTAGTGTTAGGTTAGAGGTTGGACTCGATGATCTTGAGGTCTCTTCCAACCTAGAAATTCTGTGATTCTGTGATTCTGTGATATCCTGGAAGCACAACACAGCCCAGAGAAACAGTCCAGGAGGTTTCTGGAGAGCGTGGAAGATAACTTCCTGACACAGCTGGTTAGTTAGCCTACCAGGGGTGGCGCCCCGCTAGACCTTCTCTTCACAAACAGAGAAGGACTGGTGGAGGATGTGACTGTCAGGAGCTGTCTTGGGCAGAGTGACCACGAAATGCTGGAGTTCACTATTCTTCGCGAGGCCAGGAAGGGGACCAGTAAAACCGCTGTATTGGACTTCCAGAGGGCTGACTTTGTGCTGCTGAGGACACTGGTTGGTAGAGTCCCTTGGGAGGTGGTTCTGAAGGGCACAGGAGTCCAGGAAGGCTTGGCACTCTTCAAGAGGGAAATCTTAATGACACAGGAACGGTCTGTCCCCACGTGCCCAAAGACGAGCCGGCGGGGAAGAAGACCAGCCTGGCTGAACAGAGAATTGTGGCTTGAGCTTAGGAGAAAAAAGAGGGTTTATAATCTTTGGAAAAGTGGGCAGGCCATTAGGGAGGACTATAAGGATGTTGCGAGGCTGTGCAGGGACAAAATTAGAAAGGCCAAAGCTCATCTGGAGCTCAATCTGGCTACTGCCATTAAAGATAACATAAAATGTTTTTATAAATACATAAACACAAAAAGGAGGACTAAGGAGAATCTCCAGCCTTTACTGGATGTGGGGGGAAACAGTTACAAGAGATGAGGAAAATGTGGAGGTGCTTAATGCCTTCTTCTCGTCAGTCTTTAGTGGCAATACCAGTTGTTCTCTGGATACCCAGTACCCTAAGCTGGTGGAAGGGGATGGGAAGCAGGATATGGCCCTCTCTATCCAGAAAGAAATGGTTGGTGACCTGGTACGGCACTTGGATGTGCGCAAGTCAATGGGGCCAGATGAGATCCACCCGAGGGTACTGAGAGAACTGGCGGAGGACCTGGCCAAGCCTCTTACCATCATTTATCAGCAGTCCTGGCTATCCGAGTAGGTCCCAGTTGACTGGCGGCTAGCAAACATGACGTCCATCTACAAGAAGGGCTGGAGGGTAGGCCCGGTGAACTATAGGCCTGTTAGTTCTACCTCAGTGCCAGGGAAGTTCATGGAGCAGATTATCTTGAGTGTCATCACACGGCACTTACAGTGCAACCAGGTGATCAGGCCCAGTCAACATGGGTTTATGAAAGGAAGGTCCTGCTTGAGGAACCTGATCTCTTTCTATGACAAAGTGACACACTTGGTGGATGAGGGCAAGGCTGTGGATGTGGTCTACCTTGACTTCAGTAAGGCTTTTGACACTATTCCTCACAGCATTCTTCTCAAGAAACTGGCTGCTCATGGCTTGGACTGGCACGCTTCATTGGGTTAGAAACTGGCTGGATAGCTGGGCCCAAAGAGTTGTGGTGAATGGAGTCAAATCCAGTTGGAGGCCGGTCACTAGTGGCATCCCCCAGGGCTCAGTACTGGGGCCAATCCTCTTTAATATCTTTATCGATGATCTGGATGAGGGGATTGAGTCCACCCTCAGCAAGTTTGCAGATGACACAAAGTTATCTGCTCAAGGGTACGAAGGCTCTGCAGGAGGATCTGGATAGGCTGGACCAATGGGCTGAGGTCAACTGTATGAAGTTCAATAAGGCCAAGTGATGGGTCCTGCACTTGGCACACAACAACCCCAAGCAGAGCTACAGGCTGGGAGATGAGTGGTTAGAAAGCTGCCTGGCGGAGAAGGACCTGGGAGGATAATCGTCCGAATATGAGCCAGCAGTGTGCTCAGGTGGCCAAGAAGGACAACAGCATGCTGGCTTGTATAAGAAGCAGTGTGGCCAGCGGGGCTAGGGAGGTGATTGTCCCCCTGTACTCAGCTCTGGTGAGGCCACACCTCGAGTACTCTATTCAGTTTTGGGCCCCTCGCTAAAAGAAGGACATGGAGGTGCTCGAGAGAGTTCAGCCTGGAGAAAAGGAGGCTCAGGCATGACCTTATTACTCTCTCTTGATACCTTAAAGGAGGCTGT